CAAAGTGCTTCACAGGGGCACAACAATAAAAGTTACAGAGCAATATTAAAACAAATTAATTAAAACAATCACAGCCTTTTCAACTAAAAGCTCGTCCAAACAGCCATGTCTTCAGCTGTTTTTTAAAGGAATCGACAGTGTCGATTAACATACTGTGTCAAGGGTCCCAGGTTTGCAGAGGCAACTCTACCATTGCTAGGCCCAACTAGTAGAACCTCTGTCTTTTTATCATTGAAATGCAGAAAGTTAGCGGACATCCAGGATTTGATTTCATCAATGCACTCTAAAAGTTGAGTGGCACTGAACGCATTCTCACGCTTAAGGGGCACATAGATTGTGTTTTCAAATTCTTTTACATTTCTGACGTGTGTGTGTGTATGTGTGTGTGTGTGTGTGTGTAGGCTCTCATGTCAGGAAAAAAGGAGAGCAACAAGGCCCTTTTAAATTAAAGGCAATGGAGAGCGACAGTGGCTCAGTTGCTCTACCCATGTAAGCATGTAGGTTTCACCTGGAGGAAACCTACATGCTTACATGGGTCGTGGTTTCGAGCCGTCCACAAGACCTACTTCACGACTCCCACTGATGTCTGCTGTCGTTGCGTCCTTGGGCAAGACACTTAACCTCACTTTGCCTGAAGCCCCTGCTGAAAGATCAAGGCGCTTGTGGACTCACCACCTGCAGGAGGATCAGTGAGGGGCTGGTGCTCTGTGTACTGGATGCAGCTCTGACTGAAATCTATACATCCATCCATTTTCTACCCTTTAATCCATTTCTGGGTCAGGGGGCTGGCAATCAGAGATGCCACCCAAGTCTCATAGCACCAGCCCCTCACTGACCCTCTGCAGGAGGTGAGTCCACAGGAGGACGGCTGCTCTCTGAGTGAGAGCATAGCCTTGATCTTTCAGTGGGGGCTTTGGGCAAAGTGGGGTTAAGTGTCTTGCCCAAGGACACAACGACAGCAGTCATCAGTGGGAGTCGGTGGAGAAGGTGTAGAGGTGGGAATTGAACCCACGACCTTCAGGCCTGAAGGCCAATGCTCTACCAACTGAGCTACTGTCGCCCCTCTGACTGAAATCTTTTAATCAGATTTCACATTTGGATTCAATACAAGCTATAAACGAGCTTAAAACTAACAGTGCGGCTGGTCCAGACGGCATAGAAGTACAATACTTCTAAGCCCGATACGGTCTACTTCAGTACTTTGGAGTAAACCTTACCAGGGAGGCTGAGGAGTGTGATCCCACGATAATTGGAACACACCCTCCGATCCCCCTTCTTGTAGAAAGGGACCACCACCTCGGTCTGCCACTCCATTGGCACCGCCCCCGATCGCCACTCGATGTTGCAGAGACGTGTCAGCCAAGACAGTTCTACAACATCCAGAGACTTTAGATAGTCAGGACGGATCTCATCCACTCCCGGCGCCTTGCCACCATGGAGGCTGCCAACCACCTTGGTGACCTCAGCCAGGGAGATGGAAGTATCCGCCCCAACATCCTCAGCCTCTGTCTCCGGGATGGAGGACGTGATGGGGGGATTGAGGAGAACCTCGAAGTATTCCTTCCACCGCCCGACAATATCCCCAGTCGAGGTCAGCAGCTCTCCACCCGCACCGTACACAGAGTTGGCAAAGAACTGCTTCCCCCTCCTGAGGCGCCGGACAGTTGTATTTTATGTACTTTATTTGAACAGGGACAGTGTACAGTTAAGCATTAACACAAAAGGAGAGATGCATGTACCAGGTTATAGCTGAGATGCTAATTTCCACCTGCCAGAATCGCTTCGAGGCCGACCGATAGTCATGCTCCATGGCCTCTCCGAACTCCTCCCAGTCCTGGGGTTTTACCTCTGCAACAGCTCGGGCCACGGCACACTTGGTCTGCCGGTTCTGGACAGCTGCCTCAGGAGTCCCCCGAACCATTATGGCACGATAGGACTCCTTCTTCAGCCTGACGGCATCCCTTACTGACGGTGTCCACCACCGGGTTCGGGGGTTGCCACCGGGACCAGCACCAGAGACCTTGCGACCACAGCTACGAGCTGCCGCATCAGCGATAGAGGAAGAGAACATGGTCCACTCAGACTCAATATCCCCCTCCTCCGCCAGGACCTGGGAGAAGCTCTCTTGGAGGTGTGAGTTGAAAGTCCGTCTGACAGGGGGCTCAGCGAGACGTTCCCAGCAGACCCTCACTACACTCTTGGGTCTGCCAGGTCTGACCGGCTTCCTCCCCCGCCAGCGGATCCAATTCACAACCAGGTGGTGATCGGTTGACAGCTCCGCCCCTCTCTTCACCCGAGTGTCCACGTGGTCGAAGGTCAGATGATACGACAACAAAGTCGTTCATCGACCTCCGGCCTAGGATGTCCTGGTGCCACGTGCACTGGCGGACACCCTTGTGCTGGAACATGGTGTTCGTGATGGACAAACTGTGACTAGCACAGAAGTCCAACAACTGAACACCGCTTGGGTTCAGATCAGGGGGGCCGTTCTTCCCGATCACCCCTCTCCAAGTGTCACTGGCCTTTCCCACATGGGCGTTGAAGTCCCCAAGGAGAATAACGGAGTCCCCGGGCTGTGCACTGTCCAGTACACCCCCCAAGGACTCCAAGAAGGCCGGGTACTCTGCACTGCTGTTAGGCCCGTAGGCCGTCACAACAGTGAGAGACTTGTCCCCACCCGAAGGCAGAGGGACGCGACCCTCTCATTCACTGGGGAGAACTCCAACATGTGGAGCTGAGATGGGGGGGCCACCCCCGCTCACCGCCTCTCCCTGGGAAAAACACCAGAAAAGTGGAGCGTCCAACCCCTCTCAAGGAGTTGGGTTCCAGAGCCCAAGCTGTGTGTGGAGGTGAGGCCGACTACTGTATCTCTAGTTGGTATCTTTCAACCTCTTTCAAGGAGCTCGGGCTCCTTCCACATGCTCTTTGAAAAAGAAGAAACATCCATCCATTTTCTTCCCTTAAATCCATTTCTGGGTCAGGGTGGCAGTCAGAGCAGTCAGAGCAGTACATATAGCACCAGCTGATCCTCCTGCAGGTGGTGAGTCCACAGGAGCCTTGATTATTCAGCAGGGGCTTCAGGCAAAGTGTGATTAAGTGTCTTGCCCAAGGACACAATGACAGCAGACATCAGTTGGAGTCATGAAGTAGGTCTCATGGTGGGCTTGAACGCACAACCTTCAGGCCCAAAGGCCACTGCTCTAACTGAGCTATTGTCGCTCAGTTGGTGGGCGACAGTAAGAAGAAACAACTGAAGAAAACTAAAGATATAAAAAAGAAAATAATAAAAATATATATAAATATATAAAACAAAAGGCAAAAAACAAAACAAAACACATAATAAAATATATAAAGATATTGATATAAAAAAACACAAGGGGTTAGCGGTACTGAGCCTTCACGCCGCAGCCCTGTTTTGACTAATTTTACGGTACCACACAGTTCTAATGAATTTATTCTTTATTGGAATCAAAATAATGGTTATGAACCACAGAAACCACCAACACTAGGAAAAACAATATGATAAAAGAGAAATACGGGATCACTTAAGGGAAATTGTACTTTTTCGCATACATATGCTTATAATAACCAATTGCTTTAATATATAACTGTACTTGTAATCACTTATTTTTCATGCATATATACTAATTAGAATATTATATGACCAAAACAGATATCAGACACCAGTATTCCTGGTCTAGGAAAAATACAAAGAAGTAATGGTCATTTTAAGGACCTGATCGCCGCCATTTTGAAAACAGGCCCTTTTTTGGAGTCAAAATTTGGTAAACTTTTAGTATGTTTTTAAGTACATCTGGTACTATTGTAAACCGCTGAAAAACCTTTTGTTAGAATTTTTTTGGGGTCAAACCATATTTGCAGCTGACTATAAGGGGAAGAAGATGAATGGATGGATGGATGATATGGATATTGTTTCTAGTTTTCCAGTTCATGAGAATAGTTTTCTTGGCGATGGTTAGATCTATGAGGATGATTTGGAGGTTTATTGCTTTGTTAGAGAGTGTTGATAAGTCCCCTAGCAAGCAGAGTGCGGCAGATAGAGGGATGCGACAGCTCAGCAGGGAATATAGTGACTGTGTGACCTCTTCCCAAAAGTGTTTTATGGGGGTGCAGTCCCAGGTGGCGTTTATGTGTCTTGGCAGTTTTGAGTATAGTGTGAACAGATTTCTGTTGTGAACCCCATTTTGGACAATCTTTCCCCAGTGTAGTGTGCTCTAAGAACTATTTTGTACTGTATTAATAGAAGGTTTGCATTTTTAGTCATGAAATAAATGTTTTTGCAGATTAAGCTCCCGAAATTGGAATCGGGAGCAATCATTTGGATGTTGGTATACATATTACTTGGAGTGGTTTAATTTTGTATATTTTAGAGAGTAGTTTTTTTGGACCATCTCAGGTAGAAAAAAAGCAAATAAAAATAAAAATTATAAAGCACAAAAATTGTAAAGCGCATTCAAATGATTTTTTTTTGTCAGAAATTGCTTATTTTTTATAATAATTTATAATAAAAAATATATATTATTAAATGTATTTACATTTTTACGTGATTTTCTTGTGAATATTGTATGCAACATTTGACTTTGAAAATTCCTTTAATGGCAATAATAAAGCTGGTGTGATGGTCAGCCTAAATATTAATATATGCTTTATTGCCTTTTTTAGTACACTGCCCTTTCGCCCTCATTACCAGTGGTCTCCCATCCACAGTACTAACCAGGCCCTACCCTGATTAGCTTCAGAGGTCTGACGGTATCTGGTTCTCACCGTAATCCCGCCCCTCGTCCTCATTACCGTCTCATGCATATTCAGCGCCTCCCAGTCTCTACGCATGCGCCCTATGGACCCACTGATTCCGCGCTGAAAAGGAAGAAAGCAGCGGCTCAATCCAAACACAACAGCCGAGTAATACCTGCCCCGAGCCCGCCCCGGGACGACTTACCCTACCGCCCGACGCCGTTTCCTTGCTACTAGATACCGACATGGCGGATAAAGACGGTGAGCAAAGTTTTAAAACCGTCTTTGAGTGGCCTGCTTTCCCGCGTGTGACAGCCCTGGCTAATGCTAACAACACGTTAGCTTCTCCGTGGATAAGCACCGGGGATGCTTTCTGCCACAAATCTATTGTTTATGAATAGGTTTGATCTTATCTAAAGGCTCCAAACGCCAGAATGCTATGCCAAAGGGAGTGGCGCACCACAATAGCATTATAAGGAGCTTTGTAGTGTTGTACGAAATGCCAATCAACAGTATGCTAATGTACATATGACTGGAGGGTCTGGCTAGCTATTTAAATGGTTTACGTTGTCTCACTTTGGGACTGAAAGGTTGGTAAATGACACAAGCTTTTATGTCTCAAGGTGTTAATTTGGTCATTAAAAGTACAAATATATAGACGGGACAACATAGTCTAATGTAGCGTTATATACATGCACTAGTGAACGCGAAATAAAAGTGTTGCATATCCACGTCTACACAGGCCACTACTAGAGTCTACTCTACTCTAGCATCTGGTACCGTATCCTAGCAACCTACCCACAACAAACCAGTATCCATATAAATTCCTCGGTAACCATGGCTTCCATCAGCACTCTGGCGAAACTCCCTCAGTTAGAACATTTAAGTTCCAGCTCGGCTTGGATAGAACCAGGGCCAAGTGAGACTAAATAATGACCCGGTACTGGTTAAACTGGGCCAGTGGAAAAGATAGCTACAGGGTTAGGGTTAAATGTTGTGTATTTAGCCCCTATTTTTTTAAGTCAATCGATTTATCTAGATTTGTTACTCTCCAATATCTGCAAATACATAGGTATGAATTACATTCTTGAAACTTTTCAACTCGACTAGCACTAAAATATTCCATACTATAACTATAGTCATCTTATTTCTATATCCATTCATAACATTATTTATTAAACTAGGGCTGTTTTTCAAAACAAATGTTACATTCACAGAAGATATAAGACCTCAAGGTAAAAACGTACATTACAGGAAATGACAAATGCTTGCTCATGATCAGTTCCATGTTGAACCTATATCTGCTCCATAGGGATGCATTGGTTGGTTTCAGCAATTGAATCATAAATTGCACATTCATAAATCCATAATTATGTTCAATGAGTTTTATTTTGTGGTGTAACATTCTGCGTTGAGCTTCATCAGTATTTAATAAATGAGTGATCTTTATGTTTATGGTGCTTTTCACAAACAGTCACAAAGACTCTTTAAAAACTTTTGCATTATTCATTCCCTCCATTGTAGCCACAGCTGCCCTGGGGCAGACTGGCAGAAGGGGGGGCTGCGCCACAGGTAACTATCCTCTCACACACCAGACCATACTATGTTTACCCCTTAAGAGCCAAGTAGCACAATGTCATGAGTTCATCCATGATCTTCTTGTATGTTTTTCCTCTGATCGTTTTAAGGTTCATACCTATAGAACTGTGTTAGTTACCATTTAGGCTCCAGATAGTAAGAATCTGGTGTCAGTATTGACTGCATTTTTGACAATATTTTATGTATACATTTAAAGATGGAGAAAAGTTAAATTGTTAAACACCCCACTGTTACTGTGAGGCTTGAGTTCTGACTCGAGCAGAGGGGTCTCCAACCTTTTCAAAATGTACATTCCATTTCTATCAGTGAGTCTAGAATTTTAAGCTGGGGTACCCAACTTTATTTTCTCACGAATTATGCACATGTTTTGTTCCATCACAGTGTTTGAAACGTTAAAGCTGTGAAAAAATCAGACTACAACATGCTGCCTTAATCTTTCTAGAAAACATGTTATTTTTGTGTAAGAGCCCTGTTAGTCACTATTTTACTCATTGAGCTGATTGGCTCCTTTTCATCTTTCTGTCTGAAAAAGATGTGACAGAGGCCAATTGTGAAAACTAGTGATAGAACAAACTGTTTTAGAGCCAGTAACGAGTCTGATCGAGATGATCACATAGCCAAAGCAATTTCCTAGTCTTTGACTTCCTGTTACTTAAATGGCAATAAAAAAAGATTCTGATTCTACTGTACTAGTTCTATTTCTTGTAGATTGAAAGTTGCGTACCTCAGCTTTACCTAATTCCCTTTCACTTGTAATCGCAGCACAGTGCGGTGGAGAAGAACCAGGCTTCTCATCTACGCTGATGTAACTGTCACTTTCCCCTCAGTGTACGACGATGCGGTGGAGGAGCGCGTCATAAACGAGGAGTACAAGATCTGGAAGAAGAACACTCCATTTCTGTACGACCTGGTGATGACCCACGCCCTGGAGTGGCCCAGTCTCACTGTGCAGTGGCTCCCGGACGTCAACCGGTAACTACAAGTCCCACAATGCATCTGGATCTCAATAATAACTGAATATTAAAAGTAGAGCTGAAACAATTTCTTTAGTAATTTGAGCACAAAATATATTAGTAAATTCTGCTACCTCAAGGCTTCGTATGGTATTTTAACAAATTTTAATAAATAATAAATTGTAGTCAAAGCTCATGTTTTGCACAGATTTTGTTGCACCTAAGAGATCCTACTACACATCGCTGGCCTTTTAAATACTCTCTTCTAGAGCTGAGTATTCATCGAGTTACTCAAATGATTCGACTATGAAAAATAATCTAGTAATTTTTTAGGGGCGGCACGGTGGCTGAGTGGATAGCACTCTCGCCTCTCAGCAAGAAGGTCATGGGTTCGAATCCCGGTTGGACCAGGGCCTTTCTGAGTGGAGTTTGCATGTTCTCCCCGTGTCTGCGTAGGTTTCCTCCGGGTGCTCCGGTTTCCCCTACCACTAAAAATATGTACAATAGGTCTGGCATGTGCCTCCTGTACTGGCAACTCCCAAAAATAACAATTGTAAACCGCTTTGAGACTCCGATGTATATAAATAAAGATTACTACTAATTTCCGCCTCGAGGCTTCGATTACTAAAATATTCCATAGCTGCAACTCTGCTCTATTCGCTTGTGTTTGCAAAACTTTTTTGCCAACATAGCTCATAATGGAGGACGCAGAAAGCACTGGGCAACGGCAAAACGGGGGAATTAAGAAGCTTCAAAAATTGCCATACTAGGTGTTTTTCAAAATCAATCGCATTTACCTTATGGTTATGGTCTCGAGCATCGTTATCAAAGAGATGATCGACTATCACTTCCCCCCCCCCCCCAGGTTCACATACATTCGGGAGGTGTGCAAAGAGGTAAAAGCACATGACGACGCAGCACATTGTAGCCAATGCCATTTTTGGCTAACTTGCAGTTTGTTTGCTCGTTTAATAAATCATAGTCAAAGCTCACGTTTCTCACATATTCTGTATGTGTTGCATTATGCGTTTATGTCACAGATCCTACTACACAATCCTACTATCCTGGTCACAATCATACTCTTTGATTGTGTTTGTAAAACATTTTCTCCCGCATAGCTCCATAGGCTGTACATAACTCACAATGTGAGTCGTGCAAAAAATGGAATTAAGAAGCGTCAAAAGTAGCCAAAGTGTGGCAACATTTCACACTAATATCAAAGATATACGCAGTAGTATGCAAACATTGCACGATAGAGCTAGCATACCACAATAGTAGTGATGAGCGAAAGAAGCCTTGTAACACACTAGTGGACAAATGTAATCATTTTTGCTTAGTAGCGCGCCTGTCGAGAAAGTATTTGATTGAGGGACGACCCGGGATGAGGTAACGCAAATGTTGTGTTAGTAAAAATACATTTTGACACTTGGGATACCAAGGAGAGGTTTCTCACTCTAGCAAAAAAAACATCAAACGCAACCAAAGCAGCATGGTTGAAAACTAACAATGTTGCTGCTTGTCTCCTCCAATGAGCCTTTCATTTGTTAATGCAGTGATAAACCAGAAAGGTTGAGGCTGTAGATCCAGGACTATGGAGGTTGTAGGTCCAGGACAACTGGGGCTATGCGGTGCGGGACCGAGCAGGCTCCCAGACGGGAAGGGTGGTCCGGTCGGTAGTGTGATAAAACGTCTTCATTAAGTAGGAGATCACACCAGACTGCATACAGGTGTACACAGACAGTACTAGGGATGTACCGATCAAAATTTTTTGTAATCCGATCTAATTCCGATATTCTTAAATATTGTTTTACCTGAATAAATACGTTTTTCGTGTCGGCTAACACACGTTAGCAGTAGGGTTGGGCGATATGGGCCTCAGCATGTATTACGATTTTTGTTGGTATGTAATTTTAACAAAGCCTCATATAAAAGCTATAAAAACTTAGCACTGATAATTTTAAACACACTTGCCTCAAAGTGCATTTACTGATTTATTGGCAGCAAAATGTGTAATACAGCTATTGTATATAAAACGTATTAACAAAACTGAATTGTAGAGAATTCTGTTATGTACATACTGACAAAACAGAATTATCTGTTTACTGTTGTTTTGCAGACATGTAATAAAGGTGAACATTTGTAATTTGTAAAATATATAAAAGTTTGTCCTTTGTAATATAAAGTGTAGCATTATCAAATAATTATTTGATCACTTTGGCTTATGTTTCCTAATCCCAATATAGTCAAAATGATCAAATACTGTATATAATTTTTGTATCCTTTTGGGTTTCTATAATTATGTAATTATAACTTATTTGTAATTATATTGCAATGTAGACAAACGCATGCATTGAAGTAAAATGAATGACAGTAAACTGTAAATAAAGCTTACCAATGGCACTATGAGAGAGAGAGAGAGCGAGTGTCCGAAGCAAGCCACTCGAGTCCAGTTGTTTAGGGCAGCTGCTTTCACAACATGATAGTTACACACAATTGCTTCTTTTTATCTAGTTCCCAAACTACTCCCATATGTTTGAGGTAGCTCCGTGTTTTGGCACAATGTCTTCTACAATCTGCATGTCTTCACCATGGTCTTCACCGCTGCCCTCAGCCATGTTTGCTCTCTGCTCTGTTGTTGTTGTCCCTGCACGCCGCTCTGCTACACGTGCCGCGCAGATGCGTCATCAAAGTGCGCCGCACACAAACGTGTCTTCCGCTCGCTGTTTTCAGTGTTAAATGACCGTTTTCACCGGTATAAGGCATTTTCTTATCATTTAATTTACTTATACCGGTACAAAAAAAATATTGCACAACCCTAGTTAGCAGCCTTGTTTACAGTCACGGGGAATGAGGCTAGAGGAATATGTTCACAAGCAGTCTCCCCCATAGTTAGTCCTGGTGAAATCCTGGTTTAATCCTGGTTTATCTCCTGTTTTGTGTCCCCATGACGGCTCTGTGCGGCCGCTCTCTGACAGCCGCACGGAGGAAAAAGTTCATCTCTTGCTTTCGCCGCATGCATCAGGTCTCTGTGTCCACTGCTTCTGCCACACCGCACATGCTATGCCTCGCACGGACATGTATAACCATTGACACGGCATTGAAAAACAATCTTTAGATCCATGTACGCTACGCATTGTGTGGTTGTTGTTTTGCATTTCCCAGAAAGTTTTGCGGTTCACGCTTGGCTGTGATGCGTTGAGAAGCCTATGCCATCCATCCATCTTCTTCCCCTTAATCCATTCAGAGCTGCACCCAATTCACTTAGCACCAGCCCCTAAGCCTATGCCTACATCCCCCAAAATGCTGCGCGCCTCTGACTCGGCTTTATGTCCTGTGTTTTTGTACTGTTTTTTTCTTACCGATTGATGTTAAACTAACATTCTATCGATCCCGTTTTCTATTGATATTGAACACGTCTATCCCAATACATCTCGTTGTCGTTTTATCGCCCAGCCCTAGTTTTACATTGTATTTAGTTTGCGGCAGCCGTAAAGCGTGAGCATGCTGGAAAGTGACGTAAATCTGCTTCATATTTAACAAATCCGATATGCGATCCTTACAAAATACCCATATCGGCCCCCGATACCGATACTGAATATCGGATTGGTACATCCCTAGACAGTACCCCTGTTTTTGCTCCAATTTCCTCTGCCTCCTCAGCTTGTAAAGCATTACAGAATTGCACTTATTGCATATCTGTTAGCGAGTATTTTTTCCTGCCAACATGTGAATAAATGTACACTAAACATGTGTTTGCTGCTGCGCCCCGTCAGGCCGGAGGGCAAGGACTACACGGTGCACCGGCTGGTTCTGGGCACTCACACGTCAGACGAACAGAATCACCTGGTCATTGCCAGCGTCCAGGTCCCCAACGATGACGCACAGTTTGATGCATCACACTACGACAGCGAGAAGGGAGGTGAGCACCACGGGCTGAGGGGACAGGGGCACAGATGAGACCATGGCATGTTTTACCTCATTTTAATGCTAATAATCACCATAAAGCAACCATATTGTTCTCCTTAGTCTACTCAAACTCAAAATGCAATTACCGATGGTTATAAAACATTCTGCTTATGACCGTACTCTTTTATACAGTCTTATACAGGTATACAGAAGAAGCAGATATTAACAAAAGCTAGCTTGAGCCATTTTCCTCATATGGGCTTTTGTTTCAACGTTGTTGGCAACAAGTCTGCCCTAGCCTTAGCCATCCGTACACTCCGCTCGATTATTATTTCACTGCATGTAACGTCTGGGTCTGGTCCCTGTGTTTGCGATTACAATCAGTTGAATTCCATCCGACCAATCGGCGAGCGCGGGAGGCGGGTGTTGTAGTTAGTTGTGAGTGACGTCAAGAGTTTACGCCGAACGGGCAGGTTGCAGTTTGGCAATAGCAAAGAATGCGATAGTAAAGTATTCCGGTCTGGTTCTATCCAGAAATTGAAGCCGCAGCTGGAGGAATGTTTAGCAAATGTAATTGCGGGCAAAGATTGTGGCGCTTCTCCCCACGGGCTGCGCTAGCAGCAAAGGAGATGGCTAGGCTAAATGCTAACGACTCACTCGGGCGCATCACATACGTCACGGTAAACTCGGATCCAATTGTTTCAATCTGCAAAAGGAGTCAACCCCTACAGGTGGGACCTGTACACCTCCAGACCTTAGTACGAAATATAATTTGTACTAGGGTTAGCGCAGATCCTGGTGTGTAGATTGTGATATTGTCTTTGTAAATCCAGATATGAGCCACATCTTAATTGACCAATCAGTAGCCTTCATTCAGGGGGAAACTCCAGTTTGCCTTAGCTACTGCCTGTTACAGTGCGAAACTAACGTCGTCATGGCGATATGAGAAAACTGGTTCCAGCCCACTTATGTTCAAATCATCTTCTGCATTAAGGCTAACACTATGATGATGTCACACTCAGTCCACTCCTCATATAAGCTCTTTGGTTGCAGCCTTGTTTTAAAGCCCTGTGCGTAACTGTCTATCTTAAACTAAGATGAAAGCATGTTTATTTCTCAGTAAAATGGAACCCTAAGTGCCTTTTTCTCTTCCAGCAGGTATGTTGAAGGATGAACAGCTTCTGGCTTCTCTTTGTGGTTTGTTTTTTGTTATGGTATGGTATTACCTTGTTTGCTTACATGTTTAGTTGGCCCCCAAAAGCGTAAAAAAAAACCTAGTCCCAACCCAAACCTGAGGACGAACTCTGGAATTGTTAGTAATTTTTTATTTCTTTTTTCATTTCCCCATTTAAAACTAGTCGCTGTTGTTCAGACTGTGCTTTCCTCATTGTGCTTTCTCACATTATACGTATGTGCACAAACATGTAGTCCCTTCTGTCTAAATACTCCAGTCTCAGTTCTGTAACAGTATGTAATTTTCCCACTATGACATCTATATATATATATAATTAAATAAATAATAATAAAAAAAAAATACAATTACTTTCTTCTTCAGATATTAACATTCTACAATATGTAGTGAAGAGTCTCTACACATTATCACAATCTTTAAAATGGCTGACAATCAAATTATATATATTTCACAATAAACCAAACCTAAACAAATACAAACTAACCCTGAGACTTTATGTGAGCTAACTTCAGTGCTGTTGTGTCAGAGTTTGGAGGCTTCGGTTCAGTCAGTGGGAAAATCGAGATCGAGATCAAGATAAACCACGAGGGAGAAGTGAACCGAGCTCGCTACATGCCCCAAAACCCGGTAATCATCGCCACCAAGACTCCCACCTCCGACGTGCTGGTGTTTGACTACACCAAGCACCCGTCTAAACCAGGTGAGGGACTGACTACTGTTCTACCCTTGGGTCAAAAATACATGCCACAGATTGTTTAAGAGCATAAGAAAAATATACTAGATTGGGGTCTAAAATGACCTAGGGCTGGTCAAGTTTGCAAATATTATCCATATTCAGCTCATTTCTTTTCCATCACTCAAGGGTTTAGCACAAGGGTTAAACAGAAAAGCATTTATATACATAGAGTATTTATATATCATGTGTATATATACACTGAGTCTTGTATTTCTGCAGCAACTTGATTGTACTGTCTGTTTGAACATGATCTAAAAGTTGTGGGACTTGTTTGAGGTCTTGGAATTTCAAAAGGAACTCTTCAGTTTTTTAAATCTGAAATTGGCCTTTTTGAACCCTATATGCCCGCGTGCATCGGCGCAGATGCGCGCACATGTTTTACAAATGATCAATTTACTCGCGAACGGTAAAACGTAGCAACTTACTTTTTTTTCCTCTGTGAAGTACGTATTCAGTTTTGATTTGTCTGTGCGATGCACGGAGGATAAACTACGTTTGTCTGAAAGTCCGTGTCCAAAGCGTGACCCGTGAGGTACAAACAGCTGTGAGATACAAACACACGGGGACTGCCAAAGATCGTCAGAGAGTGAGATCTCTCACTCCTCTGCGTTTACTTGTTCTCCCACAGTTGAAACTACAGCTGCGATTGCAATAACCGGCTGAAGAGTGCGCATTATTGATAAAGACGATAATAAATACAGTAAAATGACATTATGTGTATATGATGTATATAAATATATGTATTATATAAATAATTTATGTTTTACGTTTTTTACAGCTGTACTACAGAAGCAACCCCAGCATTATAGACAAACTGCTTCAGGAAGGGCATCAGGAGTACAGAGATTTTTGCTTTTATAGTGGAATTTTGTTTTTTTCCCAAATTATCCCCAAGACCATAAATAACATTTCTATGCAGTGTAAAAAGTTGTTTATAGCATTTCATTGTGTTTTTTCAATACATTTTTGTTAAATTGATTTTCCGTTTGATTTTTTTCTTTGTCTTCATGATTCCATAATTTTTATATAATTCATATGACAGCTTTACAATATGAATATTCTAAAACCCCAGGTTGTACTGAAAAAAACAAAGTATACTGCTTGACTCTGCATCAAAAGATGACTGTTTTATGAGCAATTTTACACAAAGAAAACCAGGCGAGGAAAGTTCCCTAAAATGACCCATGTGCATAGAGGGTTAACACAGAATACTGAGAATTCTTTCACTATTGGTCAGAAGTTTTGCCCTAATGGTGCAACTGGAGGACGCTATTGGGACCACAGGATCCTTTGGAATCAGTTGCCAGGGCGACAGGGCGCCCTGAAGGTATTTATTACCTGGTGGGCTCGGTGCTATGGAATAGAGCCCTGCACTTGAGCCCTTGGCCCGAGGGCCCCGACGGCCCGAGGGCCGGGCTTCGGGCCGATGACCGCATAATGACCTCGGACACGGGCCGGGCTCGGGCTCTTCATTTTCAGAGCGGCAGAATACATTTACGAACGCACCCACTGAATATAGCGTTCTATCACGCTGTAGTGTTTGTTGTTCTGTGTAGTGTTGTCATTGACGGCACATAGCGTTACTTACAGGTGTTGCAGCAGCAAGATATGCCATGTCACTGTCTGAATCGGCTTCACATTAACTGTCACTGGTGACCGACCAAGAGCAGCCCGTTTTTAAAGTAACATTAGCCTACTAGCTCTGGACGTTTAACTGGCTAGCCAGTAGTGTTTTCTAAAAAAAAAAAAAAAAAAAAAAAAAACTACTGGTATTTTAACAAACACACTTCTATACTTACATAGAACCTCCTTTGAGTAACTTGGAATCTTCATGAAGGGTGATCTGTTACTTCCAATCCGTCATAACAGCATTTACTTCCAGCAAAAATCAACACAGCGCATCTAGCTAGGAGGATATAGACTCGTCTCTGATTGGCCGAGAGCGGACCAGGGCCCGCTTTCCCAGGGGTCAAGAACTGCATAGCATATTGAATTAAGTGGCACTCAAACCATGTGGCAATGCAATATGCAATATGCAATGCAATCCAGAGGGAGGTGCTGTTTCACAACACATTAAATGAAACTTAACATACTCAAATGTGGAATAAAAATCAAAATAGGATATAACATGCAATTTTGTCAAATACAACTTTAAACTAAATGCCATGTTAAGAATGAATAGAACAATGATTAAAGAGGCCAAATTTCCATGTCAATATACTATTCATTTCAAAATCTTGTAATTTGCAATATATAAAAACATTGTATCGACACTTTACATATTGAATTGCCATTAGAACTTTTGGAATAGAACATTAAATGTAAAAATTGGATATAACATTACACTTTGACAAATACAAAATAAATACTAAAATAACAATGCATAGCCATTTGACAAATGAATAGACAATTGAATTAAGGTGCCAATAGTCTTCCATACGGTGCTGGAGCGTTCTAATGAGTTTTTGTTGTAGCGGATGAATTGAATCAAAGGCCAAGTACAGTTACTCCACAATCCAATGTCTCATTAGAAGAGCAAAAACCATTATTGGCATTACAAAAGGATGTGAGTATTTTCTATTTGTTTACTTTTTTTACTATTTTACCAGCTGACATAGGCAGATGCACAGTAATCCTTAATACCTCAGACTTTGAGGCCAAAGTCAACCATTTACTTATGGACACCAACACGTACCAACAATTGACCAACCCCCTACCAGTGGGTTTAGGAAAAAGATTATAGACTACCTTCAGAGATTTTGAAAGAGGGCATTATTGAAAAACCACTGTATTACAAACTTTACCCAGGAGATGCCATTCCCAGTATTTATGGGCTCCCAAAAATACATAAACAACTTTCCACTTCAGCCTATTGTCTGTAGCATAGACTCAATCCCCAGTTCAGTGTCCGCATATATCAGGCTCTGAGCCACGAGCTCAAACTGCTTTTCCTTCGGTTCCTTCACAGTGCCTCGTCCATGCTCTCTGCGGCGGCGGCCACGTAGTTAGACATTTTTCGAGGGTGCGCGGCAGGCTACGTAAGGGCCTTGCGGTGATCCACGCGTTGCGCAAGTGACGTCACGTCATCTAAGGATACACTCTCAGAACGTCTTGAGCAGAATTTGTGTTTCCAGGCTGCCACACTGTCTCAGTCAAGTGACCCATGTGTATTTTGTCACAGAAACCATGAAGATAAACGCAAACATCTGACTGCTGCTGCTGTATAGCAATTCTTTGGCCTGTACTGTCGTCTGCACTTCTCCATAGATGGGGACAGCACAAAGCTGCAGCACTCGATACAAAAATTGATGCCAAATTAATGAAATTGAGTCTGCGTTAACTGCATTATTAACACGTAAACGGACAGCATTCAACGGACTAATTTGAATACTTTATACATCAATTTCCAATTAATGTATTATCAATGTTATATTTGAGTATGGAGAAAAGCATGTAATTGTATGCCAATCCCGGTCAGTCCGGTATAAGTTGATTTATTTATTTGTAGTGAATATTCTGAACAGACTGCTTGTTGCAAGTTAACCTGATTTGTTATTGTGCCTCAGACCCGAGTGGAGAGTGCTCCCCTGACCTGAGGCTAAAGGGTCATCAGAAAGAAGGCTACGGTCTCTCCTGGAACCCCAACCTCAGCGGGAACCTCCTCAGCGCCTCTGATGATCATGTACGATACATTTAAGAAGCTCAATTAGACTGGATTATTGTCTCCTGAATATTCTCTTGTCATTGAGAAGGTGTCTGGGTATATTTCACAGTTCTGTTCAAAATGGGTTTCAAAAGACTGGCTACCACATGAGAATAGCTATTTGTGTATCGTCTCGAAGGACTTTACAAAGTTGTGCATTCACCAACAACAAATCAAAGAATCAAACACAACACAACAAAGACATCACGGCACGGTGGCTGAGTGGATAGCACTCTCGCTTCTCAGCAAGCGAGTCCTGGGTTCGAATCCCGATCGGAACAGGGCCTTTCTGAGTGGAGTTTGCATGTTCTCCCTGTGTCTGCGTAGGTTTCCTCCGGGTCCTCTGGTTTCCCCTACCTCTAAAAACATGCACAATAGGTATGAATGTAAATGAGAGAGTGAATGGATGGTGGTTGGGGGCTGATGTGTCCAGTGTGTTCGGCGACTCGCTTCCGTCATCACCGTGTGTGGAATGATTGGTACAATATCTGAACTCTGAACAAAGTGCTTTGGGTGACCTTGGTCTGTAAAATGCGCTATATAAATAAACATTACTTACTCATTACATGACCGAGGCTCTTAATTTTAATCCTGCAACTTCTCATTCCTCCAGACAATCTGCCTGTGGGACATAGGAGCGGCTCCTAAAGAGGGGAAGGTGGTTGATGCTAAGACCATCTTCACCGGACACACGGCGGTGGTGGAGGACGTGTCTTGGCACCTGCTGCACGAGTCTCTGTTTGGGTCTGTGGCAGATGACCAGAAGCTCATGATGTGAGTCTGTGTTAGGGAAAGTTCAGAAACTCTTGCCTCAGGTTGTGGTTAAAGGGGGAGTCCTGCATGAACTGTGACCTCTGGTTTTCTGACTGCAGATGGGACACTCGCTCCAACAACACGTCCAAAGCGAGTCACGCGGTGGACGCTCACACAGCGGAGGTCAACTGTCTGAGCTTTAACCCCTACAGCGAGTTCATCCTGGCCACAGGCTCCGCAGACAAGGTAATCCACATGTATTTCGTTGTATAAATATTAATGCAATCTGTGCAGCAAAACTGTATTTAGGCCACGGTCACAGTTTTTTACAAACGAGCTATGGGTGGGTGGGGGTGGCAATGAGCGCTGAGAAATGAATGAAAAGTCTGATTCTTGAACGTCTGAAGTGTTATTGCAATAGCACCACACTGTTAGAGGGAGGGCCAGGACAAAAGGGAGATATTGTAGGAAACACTCTCCTTTTGCCATGGAGCGACTAATCTCTCCTGCAACTTTGGTTATTGACAAAATAAAAAATGTTTATCTCATGGTTTTTTTAAGTAGCTTTAATCTTAGGGATTCACTTCTGTTTGAAACAAGAGAAAACAGATGTTTGCCTGTTATTGTAGTAACCATTGGAATGAGCCTAGTGATCGGCTAAAGCTAATCACCACATGATCAACATTCAAAATACTTTAGAATATGAAATAACTCACGCATATACTGTGTTCCCTTAAAGAAGAACAAAAGAAAACATAACAAACGCAGGGGTTGCGTTCAAACCTATGCTAGATCCACTTTAACATGTGTTTCTCTCAGACTGTGGCATTGTGGGACCTGAGGAACCTCAAGCTGAAGCTGCACTCCTTTGAATCGCACAAAGACGAGATCTTCCAGGTTTGGTTCTTCTGTCTTTAACCTGGGGGACAGGGCCTTCTCTGTGGTCTTACACCTTGTGGGACTAATATTCTTGTACGTATCTTCAGGTGCAGTGGTCTCCTCACAATGAGACCATCTTAGCATCCAGCGGCACGGATAGACGGCTGAACGTCTGGGACCTGAGGTTGGATCAAAACTAAACAAACACTTATTTAGTGAGTTTTGTTTAGGTCAAAGTTGACACCATTTTTATTTGTTTCATAGTAAAATCGGAGAGGAGCAGTCTGCAGAAGATGCAGAGGACGGGCCTCCGGAGCTTCTGGTCAGTCTTCTTTCACTCATTTATATTTGAAAGAGGAATACAAGCAATCATACACTGCAAAAAAATCTTGTTTTAACAAAATGTGCTCAAATTAAGATTTGCCAATGGGACAAGCAAAACCATCTTGTTTTAAAAAGATACAAGAAATTTCTCCCTCGAAATGAGAGAATAAACCAACATTTCTTGAAATAAGAGCTGCACCCATTCACAGACCACCTCACTGATCCCCCTGCAGGTGGTGAGTCCACAAGAGGATGGTGGCTCGGTCAGTGACAGCATAGCCTTGATCTTTTCATCGTCTTGCCTATGGTCAAAATGACAGCAGACATTAGTGGGAGTTGGTGGAGAAGGTCTTGTAGTGGGATCGAACCCACGCCCTTCAGTTGCCAGAGGTCAATGTTCTGCCAACTGAGCCGCTGTCGCCCAGTGCAGGCATAAGTAATGATGCTAATGTCAGACCGCGCCAAACAAACAGCTCCACAGACCAAGGCACGTGTTGGGACTGATGCTTCAGATGTTGCACTTATTTGATCAAGAGCCACAGGAAGAAGAGTCTGCTCTGACCTTCCCAGGTGGACTCCCAGGTGTTTGTTGGACTGCAACTGTCCATGATTTACTATTGGCTAAAAGGAAGGACTTCCTTTTTGTCAGATGCACTAAGGATCAGCCAGTTTGTTTCCTGTGATGGGGATGACACATGCTCCTGATCATAAGGAGAAGGAACATGAAAAGGTTGTGTTAGATCTGACTTAAACATGTCTCCTGTCGTTTCCCCAGTTCATCCACGGAGGACATACTGCCAAGATCTCGGACTTCACATGGAACCCCAATGAGCCCTGGGTCATCTGCTCCGTGTCCGAGGACAACATTATGCAAGTCTGGCAGATGGTGAGTGAAGGGGAAGAGTGCAGTGTTTACGAAGAGCCTTTGTTTCACACGGTCACATACTGATCCAGTCTATGTTGAGCTGGGAATGTGGGCGGAGCTCTTGGCCTCTTTTTGACTCTGTCCAAAGTGCTTCATGAAAAACATTCTTAAGTTACTTTTGACTCCATATGTTTTGTGTCCAGGCTGAGAACATCTACAATGACGAGGAGCCAGACACTCCGGCCTCAGAGCTGGAGGCACAGGGGTCTTAAACTCATCCAGGAATCCCCCCTCTCCATCTCAAGAGCACGAACAGAAACCTCCTCTGCAGCTTCATCCGAGTACCACCTTTGTGACTGTATGAACTGTGCTCCAGGCGCATCCACAACAATCTACGACAGACTCATCCATTCTCCTCACAGCTCCGAGTCTCTACAGATGCAGAGACCAGAAAGTAACAGGTCACTTTGGATGTTTGTGAAGCTTTTTTGAAGTGTGTATAACGGGTTTTAACTTAACTGTTTAACCAAAACAGTTAAGTCATTCTATTTGTAGATGTGGCTACACTTTTCACAAACAAAAACTCCTAGAAGTCATTGGTCCATAGGGAGTGGGATGACCATTGTCCAGAAATGTCTTAGACCCTTCTGCATCGCAAGGAATCAGAGACCCAGGCCGTAGACCCCGGACTGGTAAACTGTTAAGTGAATAGGTATTTTTGTGTAAATTTGGTATGGGTGAGTAGAAACTCATTTTCAATTTTTTTCTTTGGTGTTGTAGTGTTTGTAAATATACGTCTACGGGAGACCTGTTATACACACTTTAGACTGGTTAAAAATGTTTTTCTAATTGCTACTGTTTTAATGCAATGTAATAAATTGTTAAACGATGGGAAAAAAGATAAAGTTGGTTAACCAAATAAACTTGCTTGTTTTGCGATTTATTTGTCTCAACTAGTTGAATACTGGTTTGCACAATAGTTCCACAAATTATCTTTCATTCAACCAATCTTTAAGTTTTGAATGTTTGTTCAAGCTGTAGCTGTTGCTGCAGGAGTTTAACTTACTCAAACATTCTGGACGCAACAGGGTTTAGTGATTGGTCCTGTCTGTTTTTGCAATATTTTACTAAAACTTATAAATAAAAAATAAAATAAGGAGTCCATAAATTCTGCGCTGCCCTAATTCCTGATGCAGATGTGTGCTACACATGAGCGTCACTACCATCCGTTAATATTTACAGACCACTTCCTACATTGAGATTTATGTGCCACAGACGTGGGCAGCCCCTCCCACAGGGAAATGTGAAAAAAAACATGGATCTATCGATAAAATGCATTTGAGGCCAAACTAGACTGATCCAAAAAACAAACCATGAAACGAACTTTGTTGGAAATTCTACAAAAGTTTATTGAAAAGCATGACAACTGTGTCAGAGCAAGTACAATCAGTGTTTGGGCTCATTTCTCTGCTGTAAAAATATGTGAAGTCTTCAGTTGCAGAGGTAGATCGAAAAACCTGAGTCTTAACTGGGACAATAAATGTAATGACATTCAAATGACTTTCTGATCTAAAGAGACAGGTCCAACTGGTGAGGCTAATGAAGATTATAGCACACAAGTGTTAATTTCTAAAAGCTTTAGTGTAAATGTACAAACTTAAGAATTTATCACACTCTGGGCACTGGATTCAGCCAACATTTGGGGACAATTGATAAAACCAACACCGGGTTAACCCAACACATAGAAAATAAATATTTTCATAATCAAATGTTTCTTACAAGACTAAAGAATCACCCTTAAACCTTCCCAATTCCACACACTGAACATAAAGTTCACAAACTACATAAGATGAAACATTAAAAGGGTTACTTGAGGTTATCCATGTCTAGTCACAAATGAAATGGTCTTCAACAAATGTGAATATTGCACATCACCAAATAGACCTTTCACTGAAACTACAATCCAAACACCAGCTCCTCCTGTGAAACAAATTAGAATCTGGGTTGGACTCATGTTTTTTTAATCCAGACAGTATGCATTTCTCAGAACAAAAAAAGGTCACTTTATAAACAAAGTTTCCAAACTTAATGTCATTATCGACATTTATTCGGAATGGAGGAAGGCAAGAATCACGTTTGGATCCAACATTTGTAGCCATTTGAAGAAAAAAAAACCTTTCCACCGCCGTATTAACAGTTCACTTTAGTTGAACCAGATGTGAACGCAACCTTAAAAACATATGTAACCCTAACCCTGTCGTGGCTTTGGGTTCAGTCTGCAGGATTCACATTAACGTCTCCTGCCATTTTGGCCTGAGTTTCAGAAAGAACATACAAAACAGCACATAATAGAACAGGACAAAACATTCAGATTTAAAAACCGGCCTTACAGCGTTTGTCTTTTGAGTTGAACTGTTGTACATGGTTTTGCAGGAACAAAAAATAACATTGATTGTATCCATGACAACCAAATAGTCCAATTCCTCTACAAGCTGGCAGCCAATAAAACTTAAAGGGCCATTTTAGTGAAACCAGGCATCTCTAGGGGTTGACAACCTGGATGGTAAAACTGTCAGCTTAGCCTGAATCCAGAATAAACCAAAGGGTAAACTATTGCCATTCAGCCAATTTCACATCTCACATTTTTTGACATGCACAAAATATTGAGACAATCATGCCCAGATGACACTGGACTTGTTTTTGATCTAAGCTACTGTCATTTTATGTAGCCCTCTGCTGCTTACCATACAGGGCCAGGGTTAGGATTCCCCCAACCTTAAGATTCATATATTTTTGACCGCTGTTTTAGTCAGGAACCTTAATAGTTACCCAATGTATTTTAATATTTTAAAACAATGAAACTATAGACAAATAGAATTGACCAAAACATAAGTAAATTAAACAGTTTTATATTCCAAGTGTTAAGATTGAACCATGTCTACATAATTGCTGAAGTCAAAGCCATAAAGCGACAGGATTTGAGAAAAGATCAAATCATTGGGAGAACGTGTGGTGAGAAAGTACAAAAAAAAGGTTTTTAAAAAAAATGCGAAACGGGATTAAATTCTTGCACAGAAGACACCAAAATATGAATGCAACACTCACTTTGGATATAGGATTAAATATATTGTAAGAAATAACCCTCATTTCATATCTTAAATGTCTGTCACTTTGGGAAACAGTTTCGATGCTGAGCGAGTGCCTCTACAGTCAGAAGTCTTGGTTTCTCTCTGATCTCATACAAAACTGGAAATAGGTGTTGCATTTATATTTATTACAGTAGAAAAATAGATCCCTCTGGTCTGTACGGTTTAGTCCGATGTAGATTGTGAGTTTAGCTCTGCTGCAGTATTATCTGTTGTTGATTTTCCGTCTGACGTTCTACTGCTGTGGTCCACATCCGGAGGTCTGGGTCCCTCCTCTGGACCCTGATCCTGCCCCTGATCCTGGTTCTTCCCTGGAATCTGGTCTTCCAACCCCTGATTTGGTCCTGGCTCCTCTTCTGGCTCCTGATCTTCCCCTGGTCCCTGGTCCGGTGCCAGGTGTTCTCCCGGTTCCTGAACCTCCCCTGGCCCCTGGTCTTCTCCTGGTCCCTGGTTTGGTGCCAGGTGTTCTCCCGGTTCCTGAACCTCCCCTGGCACCTGGTCTTCTCCTGGTCCCTCCTCTGCTTCCTGGTCTTGAAGCAGGCCGAGGCGGTTGTTCAGATCGTTGCGTTCCTTCTGCAGAGCGCGACACAGACGCTCTAGCAGCTCCAGTTTCCCCTGCAGAGCCTTGAAGTGACCGTCACGCAACGTTTTCTGGAAGATAAAACAAAATGTTAACCCAACCCTCTTGTGGTAGAAGTGGGAATTACAGTGGTGTGCAAAGGTTTGGGCACCCTATCAATTTGTATGATTTTCCTTTATAAATCATTTGATAAGACATTTCAGGGAAGTCTGTATTCACAAAAAGTGTGGAAGTTTTATTGAAACCAAATTGAGCATGTGCATAAATTTAGGCACCACAAAAAAAATCTTTTGCCTAATATCTCATGGCAAATTTCCTTTGGGACATTACACTGCTACACAGATCTGAATGAATTAATAAAAAAAAATTAAAAAAAGGAATGCGACAGGAAAAAACAGAAGTGCAGTAGTGCTTTTAAGTTTGTTTTTTTTGGTCCAAATCGGCATCAAAATAAATCCAGGATAAAAAAAATAAATGAAATAGTTCATACATTATGTAGGGGTGGGCGATATGGCCTAAAATTCATATTGCGATATCATTTGGGACACAGACGGTAAACTGTATATATTGCGGTATAATTTGGTGTGTGAATTTCAATATAGGTCTAGCAGGTTCGTGCATGAAAATAGTCAAGATATTTACTTATTTAAAATTTATTGTGCAAAACTGCAATTATAGAGAACATTATAAAACTTCCAACCACGTGACCAAAAGGGGGAGTGACATGGGCCGTAGGACAAGAAGTATTTCTCTTCTAATAAACAGAAGGGAAAACGCAAAACCAGGAGCTTTTCGCGGCTTAGTTTCACTCTTACGAGTGAAAACAATTAATGCAGCGTACGCTTTGTAGAGTTTGAATGAGTCCAATGTTTTCAACAATGAGAAGTATGTACTGGCTGTTATAGCGACGACAGTGGAGTCACTGATAGCAACAGAAACACGTCTGATGATAGTTCTGATCAATAATACAATAAATAGGGCACACATGTTACTCTTAAAAACGTTTGAGGCAAGAAATATGTCCCTTTGTCATTTCGGTGAATTGTTGAGCTGTAAATAACAAAAAGTTAACTATTCTCTAGGGGGGGGGAGCTCTGTAGCGTTAAGCTTACAGCGGGGGCTGCAATTACAAAATGTATTTAACAGTTCTTTCTATAACCTCTGTTACTACAACCGTGTACCACACAAATCACACATTTATGAAAATAAGCAAAGTAGACTGCGGAGTGTCAGCTGTGTCCGCAGATTCTACGCATGCTAATGTTAATGTCTTTCTTGCGTTGCTTATAAGGCATTTTTGTAAAAATTTAAACCTGTTAGAAAAATATTTTTTCTAACAGGTGTCTCTACATTTTAAGTAGAGACTCCATAAGTTCCCCACTTAATGAGAGCAGTTGCATCCTTAAATTTAACAGGATTCCCAGTGCCTGCACAGGACACACAGCATGATGGAACCAACACTAAATTTGACTCTAGGTAGCAAGTGTTTTTTTATGGAAGCCCGTTTCCGCCATGTAAAAAATAAAAAGCTTACAAAAACTAAATTTTGAGTTTAAAACTCGAAATTACGAGTTTTGAACTGCGCATGTGCAGTTGCTGCCCGGTATGTGTTGTCTGGAACGGTGTCTGGACATCCTCTACCTGCAGGTTATGTGAAGATATTACCTACAGACAGTGACCACTGCATCCATGAAGTAGCAGCAATAATGTTGTGGCACAATATTAAACCTTTTGGAATTGCGATCAGTGCATTGAGGAGTATGTGTGCGTGCACGCGGCCGAAACGTGAGCGCGCTCCGGAGTGAGTCAATGCACTGATCGCAATTCCAAAAGGTTTAATATTGTCACGGCCCGCGACTGTGGTTCACCTGCCTCGGTCTGTGGTTCTCCTGCCTCTGTCACGGTGAACCACCGTGGTCTCTCTGTTGGTCTCTGTCAGTCACAATAATATTCACTGCATTTCTGGTGCATCCATCGATAGCCACCAGTTGATGCTCAAAGGATGAGACCACTTCAGCGTTCAGCCGCAAGCGTTTTATTATTAAGCTTCCACAGTCCGTTCAGGATAAATTAAATAGAGGCTCCTTGAGCAGATTCTAAATCATAAACGGAGAGACGTTCGCATGTTAACGCGATTACTGCCCCAACATTATTGCTGCTACTTCATGGATGCAGTGGTCACTGTAGGCAATATCTTCAACATAACCTGCAGGTAAAGGATGTCCAGACACCGTTCCAGACAACACCACATACGGGGCAGCAACTGCACATGCGCAGTTTTAAAGTTGTGATTATGAGTTTAAAACTCAAAATTTCGTGTTTTAAACTCATAATCACAACTTTAAAACTCATAATTTCGAATTTTAAACTCAATTTCCTTTTGTCCCTCGCTTTGCCCAAATAACAATTTGTTTCAACAGTCCACAGCACCTTATTCCAGAATAAAGCTGGGTTGTCCAAATATGCATTAGAATTCCTCAATCGGCACAGCTTGTGTGTGCAGAAAAAAAAGGCTTTTTCTGTGTTACTCTCTCATTCAGCATAAAGTGCGCCGAGTAGTCTTCAGCAATCTAATGTTGTAGGGCTTTGGTGCTGGTTTGACTGACTTCTCTATACTGAGCCTCTTATCTGGAGACTTTTCTTGGTTTTCCACTTCAGGCATTAACTAGAACTAGGGATGTAAATAAAATAGCGTTATTAAGAGACCTCCCCTCTCCCCCTTTTATTTTTTTCAACCGACAGCTTTGACCGGTTAACGCTGTGACGGTCAACCATCGGATAAACGGTCACCGATTTACATCCCTAACTAGAACTATGCCTGTGGTCTTCCAATTCCTCAGAGTTAGGACATTTGAGAGATGTTTTGAGGCTCCCATGTTGCCTCACTTCAGACAAAATGCAAAGAGGGAGACTCCAAACTCCACTATGGCCAAGACCAAAGAGCTGTCGAATGACACCAGGAAAAGAATGGTAGACCTCCACCAGACTGGGAAGAGTGAATCTACAATAGGAAAGCAGCTTGGTGTGAACAAATCAACTGTGGGAGCAATTATCAGAAAATGGAAGACATACAAGACCACTGATAATCTCCCTTGATCTAGGGCTCCATGCAAGATCTCATCCCGTTGGGTCAAAATGATCATGAGAACGGTGATCAAAAATCCCAGAACCACACGGGGGACCTGGTGAATGACCTGCAGAGAGCTGGGACCAAAGTAACAAAGGTTACCATCAGTAACACACTACGACGAAAGGGAATCAAATCCTGAAGTGCCAGATGTGTCCCCCTGCTGAAGCCAGTGCATGTCCAGGCCCGTCTGAAGTTTGCCAGAGAGGACATGGATGATACAGCAGAGGATTGGGAGAATGTCATGTAGTCAGATGAAACCAAAGTAGAACTGTTTGGTATAAACTCAACTCGTCGTGTTTGGAGGAAGAAGAATACTGAGTTGCATCCCAAGAACACCATACCTACTGTGAAGCATGGGGGTGGAAACGTCATGCTTTGGGGCTGTTTTTCGGCTAAGGGGACAGGACGACTGATCAGTGTAAAAGAAAGAATGAATGGGGCCATGTATTGTGAGATTTTGAGCCAAAACCTCCTTCCATCAGTGAGAGCTTTGAAGATGAAACGTGGCTGGGTCTTCCAGCATGACAATGATCCCAAACACACCGCCCGGGCAACGAAGGAGTGGCTCCGTAAGAAGCATTTGAAAGTCCTGGAGTGGCCTAGCCAGTGTCCAGACCTCAACTCCATTGAAAATCTGTGGAGGGAGTTGAAAGTCCGTGTTCACTGCTCGAGAAGATCTGCATGGAGGAATGGGCCAAAATACCAGCTAATGTGTGTGCAAACCTGGTAAAGACCAATAGTAATTGTTTGACCTCTAATGTAACCTCTTTTGGCAATAACAAAGTATTGAGTTGAACTTTTGTTATTGACCAAATACTTATTTTCTACCATAATTTACAAATAAATTCTTTAAAAATCCTACAATGTGAATTCCTGGATTTTTCTCAAATTCTGTCTCTCACAGTTGAAATACTTTTTTGCCCCACTGTATATTCATGATTGGATTCACCTTTGTATGGGAGTCAAGGGTTGCAGAGGTCAAAACTAGGAATGTAAAAAACTATGAATTTTCATGACCGACCACAGAGCCTCATTACGTAGTTTAAAATAGTCCACGTTCTTTGAAATAACAGCCATTTCAAGCCGCGTACTTTTCATAAGTGCAGCTATGTGTTCTACTGAATCAGAGCTGAGACAGAGGCGCCAAAACCCGCAACAGCTTCGGCACCTTTGCGCACAGAGAACTGCTTTTTTAATCTTCCCATTCTGCTGTGCTGCGGGTTAAAGCATTTTTAAGCAAAAGACGGCTCGTTCACATGGTCAGAGCAGCGAGTGACGCGCCGCGTCTCGCAGGTCTCCGCTAAAGTTTTAAAGTGATGTGTGTGGAGTAGGGCTGGGATAAACGATTATTTTTTAAACGATTAATCTAGCGATTATTTTTTCGATGCATCGATTAATCTAACGATTATTTTTTTCGCTTCGCTTCGATTTCGATTCGATTCTCGATTATCTCCCCATTAATTGACTAATATTGATGTATACATGTTGATTAAATATTTTAATGAAAAAAACATGAATTCCTTCACAAAAAATATTTATTGCTTGCTCTTAAAATTCAAAAATAAGACATTCTTAGAGGTAGCATAAAACCTTAAAGCCTTGAAAACACAGCTTACTGAAAAAAGTGCATCTTATCATTCTTGAAACAAACATTTGATGCTTAGCATTCAATAAAAATATGAAAAAGTTCAGCCAAATACTTGTGTAGAGCAACTAAAAGAAAACAGTAACCAATGTAAACTTGAAGGCTTTAAGCTAAACAAAGAGTGCTTTTCCAGCAAAAACAGTGGGAGCCATCAGCCTGTCATGGCGTCCTTCCTGAACCAACAGAGTTTAACATTTAAGTTGAAGACACATAGGCCTATATTACTGAAGTCCATTAATTAAAGTGCATCTCTTAAATTCTTCATTCATATTAAAATAACAGTCAAAACTCTGCCA